TGTGTGTGTGTGTGTGTGTGTGTGTGTGTGTGTGTGTGTGTGTGTGTGTGTGTGTGTGTGTGTGTGTGTTGTGTGTGCTCCCCTCCAAGCAGAGGAGGGACTTGTGAGGAAACGGCAGCTTCTGACTCTGAGAAACAGAACCTCTCTCTGGGCAACTGCTGCTTGCCTTTAAAAGCAGAGCGATGTGATCCAGGGACACCTCAAAGTTTGCACAGCCTAATGAAACAGGAAGGCTGGCTGACCTCAGCCAGTGGGGCAGCAAAAGGAGGATCGATTCCCCACCCCACCCCGCCCAGGCCATGTCCAAACGCAGCACCGTTGACTGGCTGGCCAGCAGAGGGCGCCCTCAGCCCAGGAATTGAAATTTTCCTCCAAGGTTTGAAGGGAGCCAAACCAAGGTGACCAAGGGCGGGCAGGCAGGCAGGCAGGCAGACGGTGGCACCGCTTGACATTTCCGTCCGGATGAGGGAGTGAGGGAGGCGTGTGGATTTAGTCCCACATGGGGACCCGACAGGCTTAAGCAAACCGAGGGCTGGTATTTGCAAAGCTCCTTGTGCTCTTGAGCAGTAAATAATGGGGTGCAGAGCAAAGCAGAGCCCGTTTTCCTAAAAAAACCAACCCTGCGCTCATGGGCCTCTCTTGGAAGCCACGGATGCTCCAGGACTTTCCACCACCAGCCCAGATAAACGCCCACCCACATCCAAACCCCCCCCTCCAACCAGTTTCCGAGGGGTTTTTGCCATGCAACAAGGGAAGGTTTGCTGGTTCGGTTAATATGCCCCAAAGGTGGGGAGGCGCTCACAGTTGGATGTCCAGGAAGATCCGCTTCTCCTCCCCCACGTGGACTGTCCAGACGCAGTCCTCCCCCTCCGTGTAGGGCTCTGGCCAGTTGGGGGAGAGGATCACCCCGGCTGCCGCGGAGAGTTCTCCTCCGCACGTGGCTGCAAAAAGGCACCGAGAGGGCCCCGGCTGAGTTCCCGGAGACCCTCCTGGGGTGGGCTGTGAGCCCCACATGCCCCAGTGCAGCTGGATCAGTGGCCCTCCCCTCCCCACTGCATAGCATCTCCCTGGGACGAGGTCTGGCCCCACAGAATGAAAGGACAAGGGCCGCAGAGGGCCGCAGGGAAAGGCACTTCCCCCATGTGGGGAGGCAGAGGGCTCTAAGCCCACAGGAGGCAGGCAGGTTGCCCTCCAACCAGTGGGGCTGGCCACCCACTCTCCCCTTTTCCATTCCACCCCCGCAGGCAGAATCAAGAGGATTCTCCCATGGAAGGAGAAGGGGGGAGCTAGGCTTTGGCCCCTCCACCCCCAAGTGGGGGGCTCTGCCATGCTCTCCACCCTCCTCCACCCGGCGGCCCCCCTCACCTCGGCACAGGGGCTCCGTGTCGTTCCAGTAAGGGTCCCGGAGGTTGATGCACTCGATGACCGCCGGCCCCTGCTCCAGCGAGTAGCCCGGGTCGCAAGCGAACTCCACGAGGGCCCCGAGGCTGTACGTGGGGTCGGAGGTGGTGAAGTTCCCATTCTGAATGTCGGGCTCGTAGCAGTGGCCTTTCTCAAAGGCTGGAAGGGAAAAGCCTGAGCCTCAGCTAGAGGGCAAACCCCAAACTGGAATCATCTCCATTCGGGGGGGGGGGCCTTGAGGGCCCACCTAGGAAGTTTCCTGGACAAAAGGGCAGAATAGCCGAGACCCTTCCACCACCACCCCTCCCCACATTACACAGCCTTATATGGACCTTTAGGTCTTTGCACTTCCTCCAGGATAGGTCCCTTAGCCTGCAGCCCCAGCTAGAGCTGACCCATTGCATCCGTGGGATTTATACGCGCGTGGCCTCACCCGACATCCATTCATTCTATGGGTCCTCCATCCTGGGAACTAGCAGGTGGACCTAAGCCATCTGGGTCTGTGTCCCTCAAAGCAAAACCCAAGGAAGGAAGCCACCCCTTCTTCGTAGGGCAAGTCAGAGGCCGCTTGATGGCCCAGGTGAGCCCCAGCATGAGTTGGCCTTGGAGGCAGCGCCGTCGCTGGTTCACAACAGGCGATCTGGATAGAATCACAGCCTGGCTGTCATTGTTCCCCCCCCCCAACAGGCCTGTCTGTCTAGGGCAGCCCCATGGAGGGCAGGGGCTTTAGCCTCTTTCCCTTCCTGCTTGGGCTCAGAAAAGGAGCAACGGGCGCACGAGGGATCCTCCCGTCTGCTCAGCCACAGGCGCTGTCCATGGTCCTGAAGAACAGTTCCATCTCTCTCTGTGTGCCTCCTGCTTGGGGAGACGGCAAATGGAAACCTGGGTTCAGGGTTTTCCCATGAAAAAGGCGCGTCCCTCCATGGGTGGAGGCAGAAAGGCTTGCTCAAGGGACTGAGGGCAGTGCAGTATGCATGGGGGGAGGGCCTCTTTGGTGACCCCCCCCTCAAAATCCTGCTTTTCCCCAGTGCACACCCAACTGCAGAATAACCCAGCGATTCTCCCTGCTTGGAGGTGGGGTGGGTGGGTGGCATCACACCACGGAGCCAGTTTCAGAGGGTAGATAAGATAAACAATCCTGCTGTTGCCACGTTGTATTTTATTCTGCTATAAACTGCCAAGATGAAATAAATGCATTTAAAAGAGGGGGTGCAGGTGGGGAGTGGGGTTCACCTTCGAAGCGGATGTTGAAAATGGGTCCCACAGCCGGACCCTCCGCCATGAAGTCCACACGCAAGGTGGTCCCTTCGCTGATCACCCCCTCGAAGGGCACGCTGTCGCTCTGGCGGGAGTCGTAGAGGGCGGCCGAGCGATTGGTCTCCCCGCTATAGACGACCAGCCTGTGGGGAGAAGAAGGGACAGGGGCAGAACTGGACTGGAAGACGCTGCTTCACAGGCTGTCATCCCGGGGGGGCCCCCAGCACCTCCTGCCGTGGTCCAAAAAAGAAGCTTTCTTGGGTTCTGCTTGATGGGGAGGAAGACTCTCCTGGCCCAGGCCTGATGGAGGGAGGGAAGGAGGGAAGGAGGGAGGGAGGCCTCCAGAAAGGGGGAAGAATCTCCACCACCCTGGCCAGGTCTCACAAAGAGTCCTATTACAGGCTACAGCTCCCACAGCCCCCTTGGGTGCCAGGAGCTGTAGTCCAAAAGCCAGGGGCCACCAGAGGCCCTCGGGACAGCGCTGAGCCTTTTCCAGCGCTCCCAGATCCCTCTTGGCCACAAGCACCCCCAGAACAACCTTTCCTCAAAGAGGCTCCCCATTCTCTCATTTGCCCGAACGATCCCAGCCCCAAAGGCCTCAGTCTTGCAAAAGGGCTGGGGGGGGCTGCCTCCTCCCTCTTGCTGGGTGGCTCTTCTCTGGCAGACTGCCGCCTCCTCGCTTCCCACAAAACCAGGTCTGTTTCAGGGTTGGTTTTGTAAGGCCTTCTCCTCCTCACCT